CGTTATTGCCCAAACGCGACATCACACGCTACATGATGTAGGCGTCAAGATATTTACCGTATGCCGCGTCTATTAGCTTATATGGTCGAAGGTTTACACCATAAGATGGCACCATAAAATCCATCCGAAAGTACACACGGCTTTCTTTCGCTATTATTCAAATATTTGGTATCCCAACATAGTCGCATCTAGGGACCATTTGTTGGGGGGGCTAGAATTTTAACTCATGTATATTTTGTTTATGATGGAATGTGATACATTGATAATAACTGAAATAATAATAATATTTAGGATGGTTAGGAAAATATTTGGGGGGGGCTACTACCCCCTTAGCCCTTATCTAATTGCACCTACGAATCCCGAGAAAATTCTGAATTTGATGGAACATTGAAACTACTTACAACTTATGTACCAGTACAATAGAGTCATCGAATATCGATGTTGTACCTACAGTTTATATTGCTACATTGTCAAAAAGTATTTGAATATTAAGAGTGCTAAATGCTAATAAGGAATTTTAACATCAACTAAATTATATAATATCTTAAAGTTATAAATTCCAGTATCCAAAAAAAAATCTAATTAGTTTCAAAATTACAATTAATCAGTTAACTCGACAATAATTAATATACCCGTGGGTATAAAATCCCCAAAAATCGAAATTAGTTTGTACATTCGYTAACCATAGTATATTATGCCTATGCGGCTACAGAGTTTTGCTTTCAACCATGTACAGACCGTTATAACATAACATGATGTTCGTAATATGAATATCTATGGTAACCAATAATTATTCCTATTATTTACTATTATTATTTATTACTTAATCGATATTGTTCAAAAAAAGTCATTATATAATTTTTGAGTTAACAACAACTGTAATGTTTCAAAAATTAGTATGGGCAATTTTTTTCTACGCTTTCCTTAACACTTTCAATAAGACTGAAGGTGGTTTGATAACTGACTTCAGAAAATTTCGTGAATATACCAACACAAGGTTGAATGTACTTGCTGAAAAGAGTATCCGACGTCATCAAAAGTCAAAAAGTACATCATCAAATCGTAAGTGGCATATTTCATTATTTTTAGGATATCTTATTATAATTTCCTTTTAAATTTCTTTCATTAATTTGTAGGTAATAGAATTTCAATGTAATAAAATKTAATGGACCAATCATGGGCTACTTCAATTATGTTTATGGGACCACTAGAGCTCAATATTTATTCGTTTAAATGTTTTGTGATTTTTCATACAATCCTATATGGAATTGTGATCTTAATTATGAATTATGATGCAGTTTAACACCGGCATAAACGCCATAAACATATCAAATATTTTTCGATCGTAATTCTTAATTTTTTATAAACGGCCATAGTGGTCGTACAAATGGATWATTTATATTATTATCGCAAACTCACTATTCCTGGTTATTTTTAAGTTGTTCTTACGGTTATATAAGTTAGCCAAGTTTATGATGGTTTTTGAAATATTAAAACATTGCCGTTTTCCGACCATTGGTGTCTTTAGCACCCGCGTTCTTTACAATAACTGTCATGAGTTTAATTGACCGATCATCATATTATACCTGATCAGTTTAATCAACGACTTTGGGTTTTTTTCTTTGCCTTAAGCTAATTCATATTCTAACGTTTTGATTTTTTTTATMGTTTTCGTTGCTATCATATCCGTCGTAGCCGATACTTTTTAAGTAAATTTTGGCCAATGAATATTCTTTAGTGTTCTTCTTTCAGCTTCGTCAACAAACTGCGGTACAAGGAGATCAGTGGCAACTATAACTCTGGTAGGCGATCAGACGTTCGACCCTAGCCGGGTCACGATGCAGCTAGGGCCGTTTACGCCCCGGACCCGAACTCAGCAGCCAYCAACTTCCACCAACACTAAAATCCCGACAAAAAAGTGGAAGTGCAACGAGGGGATAGAGGACGAACTGGCATCGGATCTATCGAACACCATCGCGACAGCATGGCAAGACATCACGTTGCCGACAGTAATGCCAAAGTACCAAACACCCATAGACCCTGTCACTAAGCTATTCTTGAAGATGACTTCCATTAGCAGATGGAGGAAAAGACCAACTGAAATAAAATGTACCAGAGCTGCAGCGTAATGATGTGATGCCTACTGTAACAGTATCATGCAGCTTTGGTGTATTTTATTTCAGTCGGTATTTTTCTTATCATTTTCAAGAATAGCCTGGTGATAGGGCGTCGGGTACTTTGGCATTATCGTGGGCAACGTGATGTCTTGCCATGCTGCTGTCACGATGGTGTTCAACAGATCCTACACCAATTTATCCTATATCCCCTCTTTGCATTTCCACTTTTGCTGTCGAGATTTTAGTGATAGTCGATAGATTAATTTTGTTGAAAAAATAAAAAAATTCTTTCTAATATTACGTTTGAGTATTTTTGTTCGAGAATAATTACGACTAACATTTAAGTTATGAAAGAATATATATATATACCTATATTATTATTATTGTATGAATAGGACTAGGAGACTTATAAGTTATAATAATTATAATTATACCATTTATACCTATACTAACAAACAGATAGCAAAAAATAAATATTACGTTGTATAATCGTACCTATATATTTTACAAAAAACTGTTTATGCTATTATGTGGTACGCAGTCACGCAAAAAACAATTACGGGATTTAAAAATGTTAAATTTAGCACTGATAATGCTACAAAAACAAATTTAGTATCAACAAGAATGAGTTTTTAAAGTTTAATGTGTACCTATGTTTAGAAGTTTAGACCCAAATTTATGATTAAATAAAATTTATAAATTATACCTATACATCTTAAAAAATTTTATTGATAGTTATATACATTAATATAACATAATATGATAGATTCATATTATTTGATTCTTACCGAATACATTTTGAACATTATTTTTTGTAGCTCTCTTAATAATTTTTGATTCCATTTTTGATGACTTAATCTGAGCAGTGTGCCGCCGGCCAAGTTCCATCAATGCCAGTGTATCTTTACACGAACCAATTCGCTCGGTTTTTCTAACCCATATATCTCTGTTTTCTCTTAAGATAAACTTTTGAAGTTTAAAGCACAGATTAATCTGGAGTAGCTAAAGACGTCTTAAGAAATTGACCCCTTAATATTGAGCCATTTAAAAATAGGAGGATTTCAAAATTTGCAATTTTGTTACTGACTTACTGACTGACATCAAAATTATAAGACACTTATCCCGTATAGGTAGAAACATGAAATTTGGCACAAAGGTAGTTTTTACAGTGTAACTAAAGGGAAAAATCTAAAAATTGAAATTTTTTCAAAATAAGAATAGTGAATAGATAAGCCAAGGATAGTTGCATTGTTGAATATAACCGTCTAAGAACTTTGTATAGGCCAGACTTAACAGACATTCTATCTAAAAAGTATCGACGACGAAAAATAAAAGGCCGCATTTGGCTATTTTTGCCAAARTTTTTGACAACGCTCAAGAGTCCAATTTCTCAGCTCCTCAACAGAAACCCAATCAGCCTTACAAGAGAAAATCTACGACATATATATAAAAAAAAAATAATTATTATAACACGTCGTCCACGATGCGCTGAAGCCCGCAAAAATAAATGATATCCCCCAAAAAAACGGGCATGTGTACCAGTTGCCTCATATGTTAATATATACACGATTACAATATATCGCCTGTAAAATAGGGGAGGTAATTACACAAACAATAAATAAAATAATTTATAAAAATAATGTAAAATAGTATAAAATGATAAAATCAAATTTTGATATTTGCGATTATACATAATATATATGATATTGTATTTTGTAATAAATAATAAATATAATATATTATACAAATAGTATGGATAAAATGAAAATTGTATTAATAATAATAACCTACTACTMGGTGCAAAGCCAGGATTTTACAAAAACCCGTAAATTTAGACGCGTCTAAGTGGATAGCCGATTTAGGTACATAATTATTATATCTAATTTTTTTTTTTGACAAATTATGCCACATAATTATATTATTTATTATTTCATTGTCTTTTTCATATTATTTTGTTAGTAATTCAGCGGCGGCTCGTAGATAGGGGCGATGGGGCGATCGCCCCCCCTTCTAGAATTATCATTTATTACCAATTTATAAGTTAAATATTAAATTTCTTATTTATATTTTAGTATAATATTGTCAAAAATAAAAATTGTTTTTCCTTCATTTACACCAATACATATTATTATGAAAACATTATCAGATAATGGGAGTTTAAAAATAAATCATTCGACGCTGCAGCTTCTGAGAATCGATAACCAATAACAATTTGCCGGGACCGGCGAGCAGCACATGCGATTCTTGAGCGATGTTTAAAAGTCACTCGTCATTCTCATTACTATGGTTGGAATACAAAAACTAAGAAGGGGGAACACAATAATAATACTGCCGCCGGGGCAATGATTTTAATCGCCCGTTGGCCGTTATGCACGGATTCCGAATTTGCGTATTTATTATTTACTTTGTGCGGTCGTCACTGTAATCAATTCTATATTTAAATCTATAAAAAAATGTTGACAATTTAAAATATATTTAATAATTTATAATTTATATGTACCTATTACCTATTAAACAGAATAAAATAAATTATTAGTATTAATATTATTTGTGTTCGATACTTTCCATAAATAAGCAATTTTATATCGCCCTCCCACTTTCAGAGCACACGAGCCGCCACTGAGTAATTATTATAAGCATATGAATATTTTCTATAATTTTATACAAATTATCACATTTAATATGCCACTTATCATTATAACTATATTATTTATTATGAATTTTTTATTTCTATCGTTTTATACTATTTTACATTATTTTTATAAATAATTATATACTATATATTACCTAACCTTCCCTATTTTACATGCAGGCTATAATATATTGTAGGTAATCGTGTATAGGTATATATCAACATGTGAGAGCAACTGGTACATTTGGTTGAGGACAGCTGGTATATTTTAAAAATCTCGATAACAGCCGTGGGGGGCAGCTGGTCAACACCCAAAAAAATCTAACGATGAAAAAAGGCCAAGTTCCAAACTCCCTCCTAAAAACTTCGGCCCATCAAAGTAGTGAAATCTACATTGTGGCCAAGTCTGATATTTTTTAAAGGTTACCTACCTAAATTTGGGAGGCAAGTCAACGGTGTATGACGTTGACATTTACTAAAAATCAAAGTGAATGTTGACAAAATGATCTTGACGCGTTCTGGCGTTCATATACCAGTGATTGTTGACATTTACAATTGTTGACTACACTTGAAGCACGATGTACATATGTAAAAGGTATTTTTGTATTATTCTGTAGAATTAAGAAGTTATCGCCCAGTCATCCATTACTACGTTATTAATACGTTCTATCTTTTAAAACGCTCGCATTATGTAGTTTAAGAATTTAAAATCAAATTAATTACAAACCGCWTTAACGCCATCATATTATAAAATAAATGTATGCATTGGAGACGTTTTTTAAGTTAGTAATTTTATCACATGAGACAATCTGATTGTGATTTACAGATTTACCACATTTATGGTTACTAAATATAAATATACCCTTGTCTRCTGTATTGACGTGTATTCTAAACCGAGCGCAATAGTTTAAGTATAAGATTAGTATAATGAATAAAAATACATAAGATATTTTGTGACTTTATGTGAAAAGTTAACGCATCATATACGCATTTTTAATTTTTTATTTATATAGTAATATTATTATGCCCTCTAAGTCAACTTCTATATATTTAATGATAAAAGTATTTTAAAAGCTGCAGCTAAAGTGTATTGTATATGCACAATTATATACTACCTCTACACTAAAAATTCAGAGCTAAGTTGTTCATATGGAGGGAACAACGGAATCAAAATACGTTACCAAAACCAATGTAGACTGTAAMCAATATCACTATACAAATTTTCAACCTAGTATTAGTATTACAATACTTTTGTCTTTGCAATTATTTGCTACGTTGTAAGTAGGTACCTCTGTCCACTCCAGAACTGATATTTTTTACAATAACTCGCATAAAAACATAAAGTTTCAATGAATTAGTCTATGGTAAACGGTAAACATAAACAAAAATTAAAGCATTAAAGGAAGTTAAGTGATTGCATTATTTTCCCAAAATTCTCCCAGGAGAATGCAACTTAATAAATGGCATAAGTTTATTATAGCATGTTTATTATATCTTGTTATTAATTGTAATGTTTTAGAATAGAATATTTGAATAAAAAAGTATTATTAAAATTGTGTTTATTAATTTTGTTGTTGTTTTTGATTTTCAATATCTATATTCAAAAGTACTGAGCCCCCTCCAGGGCCAGGGCCCTCCCCCTACCAAAATTCATTTTACGCCTCGGTCTAGTTTTAGATGTAAAATTATAAATTACTTTTGTAAATATTGTAAGTAATGTAGGTAAGTCAATAACCAACCTTACTAGTTAAGGTTCTAATAATATTTAAAAAAATTATAATATATCATTATTTTTTTTGTTTACTATTTATTTAAAGCGTTCCTGACAATAATCATCTAAACTTAGGGATACAGAAGTAGATTTTGACATTTTGTAAATCAGACAATGTTAGGTAGGTAAAAGTAAGAACTTTGTTTTTTTTTTTGATTTACAGAAAAATGAAAATTATCACATTACGAAGCAGTTTATAATTATACAATTATACAATTACATAAACACATATTATACATATATACATAAAGGTAGTCAGAAAAAAAGCCACGGAAAAAAAGCCAAGAAAAAAAAATTCAGAGAAAAAT